CTGTTTTTGCTGTTAAGCAAGCTTCTCCCTGTGATTTCAGAAGTGGAAGAGGAATGCCTTATGTCCTTGTGTGACTGTAGATGCCTGTTTGTTCCTATTTCATTTCTGCCTTTTGCTTTTAGTACTAAATCATGGAATTCCAGAGCCTTTCCTTACAAAATACCTATTCTTCATATTTAACAAAAAAGTCTCAGAAAGAAATGAAGGTGATGTTCTCTCTTCAGGAGGCTCCTCCGGGGGGAGACCTTTCTGCATTATACAACTTGTTCAAAAAGATCTGATTTCATGACCGTGTTCAATTGATAATATTCATTCAAATATAAAACTTATTTTTGTGTGCATTACAGATACTTTTGTGGACATCTCTAAGTGTTACCAACTTGTTCTGCTCACTGTCTTTGGAAGGATAATTTGAACAAAGGTATCTAATAAAACTGCTAAGACTTTTAAAAATGTTACAAGCCATGAAAACCTTCAAAGAGCAGCTTGTACCTCTGATGATTGTCTTTCCTGATAATGTGCTGGCCTGGTTAATGCTGAAATTGCCAGCTCTACATTTCTGACACTATATATTATCTCGCAAACATTTTAGGGTTAGTGAGCCATACAGTCTCTGTTCTGTCTATTCAATAGCACTCTTGTAGCATCAAAGCATCCAGTCAGCAAATGGGCATGGGTGTTCAGTACAAGATTGTCTATGGATACTGAAATTTGAATTCCATCTGAAAGCACCAGGCTGGGCACGGTGGCTCACATCTATAATCCTAGCACTCTGGGAGGCTGAGACAGATGGATCCCTTGAGCTCAGGAGTTCATGACCAACCTGAGCAAGAGCAAGACCCTGTCTCTACTAAAACTAGAAAAACTAGCCAGGCATAGTGGTGGACACGTCTGGTCCCAGCTACTGGGGAGGTTGAGGTAAGAGGATTGCTCAACCCCAAGAGTTTGAGGTTGTTGTGCGCTATGATGCCATGGCACCCAGAGTGAGATTCTGGCTCAAAAAAAAAAAAAAATACACTTGGAGAGGCCAAGGCTAGTAGATTGCTTGAGCTCAGGAGTTTGAGATCAGCCTAAGCAACAGTGAGACCCCCATCTCTAAAAATAGCCAGCATGTTGGTGGGTGCCTATAGTCCTAGCTACTTGGGAGGCTGAGGCAAGAGAATCGCTTGAGCCCAAGACTTTGAGGTGAGCTATGATGCCACAGCACTCTATGGAGGCATCATAGCTCACCTCAAAAAGAGACTCCATCTCAAAAAAAAAAAAGAAAAAATATAAAAGTGCAACGCACTACTCACCATGGTGGTGAGTCATGTCAACTGGCATGCAGTTGACACTTAAAAACTTTGTTGAATAAATCAACAGATAGATTAATGGCCTAACAACCCCCTGATCAACCCTTAGATGTGAGCTCCACTCATTGGATTATAAGAGTTGATCTCCTGTCTTTGCAGTGCATAGAGGGCTTGGTTTTCAGAAATAGGATTGTCTACAATTCACTTCCTCTTGGACATTTCATGTAGGATAGGCCAATTTGACTCCTAATTCAGAGGGAAAAAAAGACGGGGATTTAAAAATTTTTTTAAAACAGTTTGAATATTTATAATATGCTACACTTGTTTTATAATATTTCTTTCATCTGCTGCCCAAATCTGGTGGGTCCCTTCAACACTCTGTGTGTGAATCTCCAACCTCTCCGCCCCTGGGGACAGCCAAGGCTGATGACCAGGAGACAGCCTCAAGTGGTTGACAACTTGGGCCCCTGAAATAAAGGCGAGGCAGGAGCAAACAACTTTGTTTTTTGCATTAAAGGGTCAATTCCAGAAAACAAATGGTAAAAGCGGCTTTTCCATTTTTTAAAAGACATGCATTATTTGCAGTTATATGTATTATTTTATTTTCCTTGATAGGTTCATTTCTTTCTTATTTTTCAGCTAGTATGTCATTAATTTTGTAACTAGAACACACCACAGTATGTGACTACAGCTGCATCTTTGATCAAATTTTGTTGGAAATGTGACACTCTTGAGTTGTTTTTATTTATTGTTTAAGTTTCTGAATTGCAAGATATATATTATCATGCAGTGCCCCCTTAAAACTGTTATTCTGGCCTTCTAGTACACTTTACGTACTTCTAATTAATTCACTGACCACTTTCTAACTCTAGATTGTGTTTATTTATACATTTATATTTGTTATTAAACTTCCTGAAAATAGACTATAGTTTACTCATTTGTATGTCCTATAGATGCTAAGCACACTGTTTAATTAAAATTGTGTTGAGATGCAACAAAACATATACAGTTGGCTTACCCTAAGAATTTTAATAGCTTCCCTTATCTTAAGAGGCCTTTTTTAATTGAATCCCTGTCTTTGGCTATAGTCTCATCAGCTGTCATTCCTTCCCACCCTTCAGTCCCCAGGAGCTTGCCCCTCTGGGCCGCGGTGCTCGTTTCTTTGCCTTCCACTTCCATTTTTTTGTACATCCACTTCCCTCAAAATAAGTTACCCTTTCGACTGCATGGTGAACTCCTCACCACCTTCAAGCCATAGTTCATACTTGCTTATTTGTTGATTATTTCCCTCATTAGCCTTTTAGGTTCCATGAAAGTAGGGGCTTGGTCTGTCTTGCTCACTGCTGCCTCTGAAAAACTCATGAAGGGTCTTAAGTACAAGAGAAAGTTTTGACTATTGTCCAGGAGGCATCCTAAGCAAAAAAAGTTATGGACAGGTTTTTGCTTTAGAGAATCACTCATATGGAGGGCAGTGGATTGGAGCAGGTCGTAAGAAATTAGATAATTAAGCAAAAGTGATGAGGGTTTGCTGTGCCGTCGTTAGCAGTGAGGTCAGGGAGGTGGTGAACGAACTGAGTTAGGAGAGACAGAATGGCGGAGCCCGTGACAGAGGTTGGTGGGAGTAAAGGATGATTGCCAGTGTCTGGCTTACTCCATGGCCAGTCATATCTATAACTACCACGCAGTACTGCAGTTCTACGTTTACGTGTGGCTCACTCCCGAGTAGTCTGAAAGCACCTTACTTCAGGGACATTGCTTTTTATTTTTAGTCTTTGTCTTAGCAACGTTAGAAGAGCACTTATTATATCGGGCCAATACATAAGTGAATGAATGACTACACTCAAACTACTAAACAGTAATTCTATAATCCAACGAGCGGTATAGCTGATGGCAGAAAAGCTCTATACATTGCTTTTCGCGAGTTGTGTCCAGCTGGGAGGAAACCAGCGCGCGTCCCAGCCGCCTTCTGCGCGCTGTACACTGAGACGCTGACAATAAAGTTTATTTCAGCGTCGACGTGCCACGCCGTGGCCCCGCCTTGCAGGCCGGAGCCGTGATTGGTGGGCATTTGCCGGGCGGGCCGCCGTCCTTAAGCGATGATTGGCGCAGACCGCCGCCATTCCGGAGCGTCCCAGCGCCAGCCCGCCCCCTCGCCGCGTCGCTCCGCCTGCGCCGCCTGCTCCTCCTCGCTTCTCCTCTCCCGGCCGAGGCCCGGGGACCAGAGCGAGAAGCGGGGACCATGTTCCGACGCAAGCTGACGGCTCTCGACTACCACAACTCTGCTGGCTTCAACTGCAAAGGTGAGGCGGCGGATGAGCCCCTGATCCGGGCGGCGGTCCCTCCCTCCGCGCGGCAGCCCGTCTCCCTAGCGGGACCTTCGGCGGCCTGGTCTGCCCCGGAGGCCTCTAGGCACCTGCCTTCCGGCCTTCCCCGGCCGCGCCCCCGACTTCGGAGCCGCTCACCCACTCCAGGCTCCGCGTCTCCATCCTCTGTAGGAGCTTAACTTCCCCCAACACACACTCATACACACGATTCCCTCAGCACACAAAAGGGAAACACCTTGGTCTGTCTGTCTTAACCTTTCCACTCCGTGTAATTGGGCGATACCCCGAGCACCTGCTGGAGGGTGCTGAGTAACTTGAAGACAGCTCCCTGTCTGCCCGGAGCTACCCCTGGTCCGGCCGAGGGACAGTACAAACCCACCAAGCTGTCTCAGACCAACATAGTACACAGTGAAGTTCAGGCCCGGCGGTGGAAGGGTAAGCACCCATAGGAACGGCCTAATTACTTTGCGTGGGTCGTGCAAAAAAGTTAATAGCGGATGAGCAGAAGGTTGAATTGTAAGTATAAAAGTATTGGGGATTTTTGCAGCATTACAGTTTTTTTAAAGTAATAACGCTGTTACTATAACTCACCTACCTTCCTGTAGTCATTTCTTCTGTAGTTCTTGTGGTAGGCTAGCAAGTTTGAAAGTGATCAAGTACAACTCGTGATACTTAACAGTATTGTATAATTCTCAAGACCTTATACTGCAAGCTTGAATTGGACTTACAAATTGAAAATAATTTCTAAGCAGGATAGCAGTGTTTTGTTCTAATTTGTAGTTTTTGTGCTTCTAATTTGTAGTTTTTTGTTTTTCTACTTTAATAAGGCAGAGTTAGTGGCAGTAGGACCAGATCTGGATTTGAATCTTTGAATCTCAGTTTTCTCATCTGTAAAGTGGGGACATTAAATAACACTGTATACACTTAATGTAAGGGTATCATTACATGACAATAGTAGTCACAGTGTCTGTCTTCCTCAGTTTTGTCATTCAATTTCTCATATTTTAGTATTATTTACTTTACTATGTTATTTGCCATAAATTTAACTTTGCTCAGTTTCTCCTTCTGGCTCCCAAAGGAACTAGATACTGTTTTTTTCCACATTTATTTCATGTAATCTTCATAACAACTCTCTGAGGTAAGTCCTATTATTACGCACATTTTGTAGCTGAAGAAGCTGAAGTACAGAAAATGTAGGTGATCAGCCCAAGTTCACACACCGAGTATCTGGACCCAGAATTTGAATTCAGACCCAAATTTGAACAGATCATTGTTAGCCTGTGGCACCATCGTCTGTACTTTCATCTCCTGTTTCTGTCAGCAAAGTTAATTTAGTATTTTGAGGTTAAAAAAAATTCTTTATGACCTATTTTTCTGTAGTGAAGTTTTCTCTACAATGCTTCTAGGTGTTTATATATATATTTTCTTGCAGATGAAACAGAATTTAGAAACTTTATTGTTTGGCTTGAAGATCAGAAAATCAGACACTACAAGATTGAAGACAGAGGTAATTTAAGAAACATCCACAGCAGTGACTGGCCCAAGTTCTTTGAAAAGGTAACGAATTAGGAAGTAAAAGTACAGAGAGCTTTTCTAAAAATCTTTGTAAAGATGAGCTTTATAGTTACTATGTTCCTCTTAAGATAAATAATAACGATCAATGTTAAGAAAGCTGGATTTCGGGGATTTAGATTTTTTTTTTTTTAACCATATTTCTTTTGATTTTAGTACAAATTATATTTTCTCTTCTTACAGCTTTCCATATTAAATAAAAATAGTTTTCTCCAGAAATGTTGTGAAGTTTCTTAACTAAATAGTGGTATATATTCCATAAATGGTAAATACTTCACTTTCATTTGATGGCCAGAATCAGAATTTTTACAATAGACTAAAAATGTTGTAATAATACTGTCTTTCTCCTTAGAATCAGTGATTTTATGAATTAGAGGGATTATGTAGATTATACTCCAAGGCAGTAACCTTGGACATGTTTATTAACCGTCCTGTGCCTCAGTTTTCTCGTCAGTAACTGGTGGTAACCATGGTGTCTGTCTCAGAGGAGTGATTTTCTGTCAGTGAGTGATAGACCTGTTCACAGAAGGGCTTTGCCCATCGCAGCCCCTGTATGCCCCCTGTTCCCATTGCTTCTGCTGCTACTGGATTGTTTCCCTTTGCTCCTAAAAAATATTTATGAAATTTTCAGTGGGTTTCTTAAGACTGTGAAATATATTGTTAGGATTTTGTATTTGTTTATATTACAACTTATGGTTCATTCGTGTGTACGAAACCATACAAAATTCTACCTGTAGAGGGGTATTTGAAAAATACAGAAAAATTTCCTGGTCTGAAATACCTAGAAGTGGCAGTAAAGTAGAATGACTTAGACATAAGTGTATCAAAACTTACCCAAATAAATATTATCCTGCAAATTGGTTTCTTTGGAATGGTTATGTCATTACTTGAGTCATATTTGGAACTTCTCTTTTTAGTATTGACAACTATTTTGTACTTTGAAGTAGATTTTCTTTTTGAATCATAGCCCAATCTTATGAATGAGGGGATTATGTTTTTGATTAGAAAATGAGTTATGACTGAAAGATAACTGATTGATTAATTATCCCTGAAAGGATTTCCAAAAGGGAGTTCTAGAAGTTTTGACTATTACTATTCTGCTGGCATTAGATTTTAAGCTCCTAAGAGACTTATTTGAAGGACAACCTTCATTTGGATGTATAGCTTCTGATGTTTGTTTAAAATATTCAGTTACACCCTACTTGTGTATTACATGGCCTGCTCTATTGTGTGGCATTTCTGTAATGTGAAAGTTAAGGCTTAGAAAATAAATGATTTATTTGTACATACTCCTTTTCAAAATTGTCTTTTTTATGTAATTGTTCAACGTGTACTGAGATTGGAATTATGAAGTTTAGGTTCAAGTCCCAGATCCAAGTTGTGTAACCACTGGTCGTTGTCAATGCCTCTGGACCTCAGTTTTGTCTGAGATTGTTATAGATCAGTTGTATCCTGCCAGGATCCACAAAGGTAAAAATTTCAAAAAAGCATGATGAAAATAATTCTTTTTTTTCCTTAAATGTTTCCTTCCTTTGGGATATATAATCACATCAAAAGTGTAGTAATATACATGTTATAAGAGATGTATTCTCAAGAGACCCAAATAAGATCTCTTTCGCTATTAGAGAAATCTGTACCATTCTTAATTTCTTGATGTTTGGGTAATAATGAAACTTAATTTTTTTTCTTTCATAGTATCTCAGAGATGTTAACTGTCCTTTCAAGATTCAAGATCGACAAGAAGCAATTGACTGGCTTCTTGGTTTAGCTGTTAGACTTGAATATGGAGATAATGGTATGTTTTGTGGGGAATGTCATTTTAAAGAGGGAGTATGAAAATGTAGGGCACTTACCAGTTTGTTTTTTGGTCATATATTGTTTTACTTTTAGTTCATTTTTATCACAAGATGTTAGAAGCACTTTCTATTATGTTACATTTTTCTTTTAGAATTTGGAAATGTGATTTTCTGGAGACTAGTTGTCTTCTCACAAAGTAACATTAGTTTGGTAAATTTGCCATCTTTTCCCAGCCTGCACCTTAGCCTTTAAAATTAAATTGTTAATGTTCCAGAATTGATAGGGTTTGGGGGGTGTTTGCAGCAGGTAGTTCCACGAGAGACTGAAACATGTCTGACGTCAGTATACATGGACACCCCAGAGGCCAAAGGATATTACTTAGGTTGCGTGTTGTCTTATCACAGCTACTCCTGTTATTAGAAGCTTCTGCGTATTAGTACCTACGTTAAACTCACGTTTCTTCTCACTAGATCATTACATTTTGGAAGCCCTGCCAACATCCGATCATCTTATCTCCCCTTCCGTACTCTGTTTTTCATGTTTCTCTTTTATGGTACTGTCAGTTCTAGTTCTTCTAATCGTTTGCTTTTGAAGCCTTTTTGATCTTTGGCTTCTCCCTTTCCTTCCTGTCCTGCCCTCGTTGATCTTTTTCCATGTCTGTTGTATCTTATCTTTTTCGTTCCCACTGCTGTCACCCTAATTCAGGCTGTTGCCGTTTTGTAATGTCTTCCAAACTAGTCACTTGTTAGTGTCACTTCTACTCTTAACTGCGTGGCCAACGAAGCCACCTGAAATATAATCTGTTTTAGAATGCTGCTTACTCCTTGTTTCTGGCCAATAGCTCCAGTTACATATTCAGAAACGTCTCCCATTTTTTACAATAGGAATCAAAAGCTCCTTAGCCTAATATTTAAGACCTTCAGTGACTGGTGTCCAACCAGCATTTGCATACTCGTCATCGTCACCAAACTCAATAACACTGATTCCTGTTTATATCACTTTTTTCTCCCTTGAATTTCTTTGTTCACTTTTCCCTTGGCTAGTATGCCATTTCAGTCTGTCTGTACACATCTAAATCCCACCCATCTTTTTAAGATCCAACTCAAATTCTGTCTGAGTAATATTTCCCTCTGGACTTGGTAGCTTTTAACCTATGCCTTTTAAGTGATTTGCCACTTTATGTTTTGCTTCTGTCTCATCTGCCGAGTAAATTGTAAGCTGATACTCAGCTTGCTTCCTGCATGGTATCTATGTAATCTCTCACTGCTGTAACAAACTGCCACAAACTCAGTGACCTAAGACATAATTTATTATCTTATTTTGGAATCAGAAATCTGATGTAAGTCACTAGGCTAAAGTCAGGTTGTTAGCGGGCTGGTTCCTTTTGGAAGCTCTGGGGAGATGTGTTTCTCGGCCTCTTCTACCTTCTAGAGGCGGCCTGCGTTCCTTGACTTGGCCCTTCCTGCACGTGCAGATCCAGCAGAATAGCGTTCTTCAGTCTCTCTGACCCTGCTTCCCTTGTCAGCTTACTCTCTGACTCCCCTTCCTCCCTCTTACAAGGATGTGGCTGTTACACTGGGCCCACCTGAATGATCCAGGATAATCTCCCCATTTCAGGGCCCTTAATTTAATCATCTCTGCAAGTCCCTTTCGCTCTGTCAAGTAACAAGTACAGGTTCCAGGGACTGGGATGTGGATATCACTGGGACATTATTTTGTCTGCTACAGTACCTGACATACTTTATTGCACACAGTAGGTGCTTATCAACTTCAGTAATTATTTTAATGAATGCAGTATATGTGAGTGTTTACATGCACCAATTTGGAGCATTGGGCAGGTTTTTTGCTACTACCTCAGACTTAAATTTCAGAAGCATTATGGCAAAAATCTTAAAGAAAGCTCTAATTTGAGATTTTTTTCTTTACTTTCAATTTTTGTTCCAAAGGAAATACTTGTGCTTTTCTTCCTTTAGAAAATACATGTTTTAATCATAAGCCTTGTGGCCTTGGTATAGTATTAATTGATTTTTAGGACATTTAACAAGCTCTTTTTATTTATCCTGCTCTTGGTTGGTAGGAACTGTGTGTGTGCTCCTGTGTAGTAGTCTTCCTCTTACCAGAAGTGTTTTCCAGCTATTCTCAAAATAAATTCTTAGCACCAGCACAATGTATTTCCATCTTCCTAGTGTTTATTCTTTTATTCTGTTTTTATAATCCTTCAGCCTGCAATGGTATGTGCCATGTGATCACGTGCTCCTACCATGAAATATAAGTACACTTCTCAGTGATAGCATGGTTTAATGGACTTTTTAAAAAACTCATATGTGAAATGAAAAGGAGATCAATATGTAATTGAAATGTAAATGGTATCAAGAGTGTATTGAAAGTCTTAACCTACAAAACAAGTTTTGTTTATTCTTAAAATTTGCAACTATAGGAACAGACTTTTGAAAATTAAAGTAATAATACTATCCTTTGTCAGTAGGAGGTGCTGATGTTCCTTTGTGGTTTTACATTAATGTATTGCCTTCTTTTAAGTTAACTTATTTCAAGTCTGCTGAAACCGTTGGGAATTGCTATAATTTGTGCTTTACCATTCCTTTTTTTTTTTTTTTTGAGACAGACTCACTATTTCACCCTCAGTAGAATGCCATGGTGTCACAGCTCACAGCAACCTCAAACTCTTGGGCTTAAGCCAGCAGTTCTCAACCTGTGGGTTGGGCAGTGCCTGTGGCTCAAAGGAGTAGGGCGTCAGCCCCATACACCAGAGGTGGTGGGTTCAAACCCAGCCCTGGCCAAAAACTACAAACAAACAAACAAACAAAAAAACATCAATCTGTGGGTCACGACCCCTTTATAACAATGAAAATACATCAGGGCATTAGGAAGGTTGAGAACCCCTGGCTTAAGCAATTCTCTTGCCTCAGCCTCCCAAATAACTGGGACTTCAGGCGCCTGCTGCAACGCCTGGCTATATTTTTGTTGCAGTTGTCATTGTTGTTTAGCCGGCCGGGGCCAGGTTTGAACCTGCCAGCCTCAGTGCATATGGCCAGCACCGTAACCACTGTGCCACAGGTGCCAAGCCTGCTTTACCATTTCTTAAGTCTTTTGGTAGCTTGTCAATTAAGGTGATTAAGATCTGACTTAAAGGCTCGGTGCCTGTGGATCAAGCGGCTAAGGCGCCAGCCACATACACCCAAGGTGGCAGGTTCAAATCCAGCCTGGGCCCACCAAACAGCAATGACGGCTGCAACCAAAAAATGGCTGGGTGTTGTGGTGGGTGCCTTTGGTCCCAGCTACTTGGGAGGTAGAGACAGAAGACTTGCTTGAGCCCAGGAGTTGGAAGTTGCTGTGAGCTGTGATGCCATAGCACTCTACCCAGGGGGACAGCTTGAGGCTCCTGTCTCAAAAAAAAAAAATATATATATATATATTAAAAATTGAGAAAAAAAAGATCTGACTTAAATTGTTTCTTTTACTTTTTTATATTTCAGAGTTATAGAAAAATTGCACTAATTGTATGAAGAATTTAACATTTTATTTCATTTGCTTTATCCTTCTCTCTATACAACCCCCCTTTTTTTCTGAACCATTTGATAGTTATAGGTGATTCTCTCTTACCCTTACATTTAATGTGCATTTCCTAAAAATGACTTTGTTATATCTAACCACAGTATAATAATTAAAGTTAGGGAGTTAAGTTTGATAAATACTGTTATCTATAGCTGTTACTCACATTTACCAACTATTCACCCCCGCCCTCCCCCCAAAATCCCCAAACTGTCCTGGATTATGCATTGCGTTTAGTTGTTGTATCTCTTTAGTCTCCTATATAATCTGGAACAGTTCTTATCTTTATTTGTGCTTCATGACGCTGACATTTATTTTTTAGGAGATGTATTAGTTTGGTTTGTGTGGTCTTTCCTCACGATTAGGTTCAGGTTTTAACTTTTTGTTAGGAATAACATTCTTCTGAGTGGTGATATCAAGATCCATGATGGCCGTGTGTCCTGTTACTGGTCGTGCTAACTTTGACCACTTGGTTAAGGTTTCTTCACTGTAAAGTTACTCTTCTCCCCTCTGTAGTAAGGAGGCATTTGGAGCCCGTGCTCCTTAGACTTTTATTGGGTGATTCTTGCCTGAATCAGTTACGGCGGTGGTGATTGCCGAGAGATGCTTTTCTACTTCTGCCATTCCCTCATTTATTTGCTGGCCTTGCTTTGTACTGTAAGGAGGAGCTCTCCTGTCTCTCCGGTTTGTTTGTTGTGTAGATTTATGGATTCTTATTTTACTCCCTGGATCAGAATTCTCTTTGCCATCACATGTTTTGATGTTTGTATTCTTGCACATTTGGTGACGGGAGCTTCTTTGAGCTAACTCCTGTCTGGCTTAATTTTAAGTCTTGTATTTTTCCCTCTTGTCTCCTTAATAAGTAGCCTAAGATGCCATCTTGGGGATTAAGTGATTAAGTGCTTTTATTGGTGAATTCTTTTTAAGTATTATTTTTCAAATGAAAGTAATAAAATCTATCTTCAAAATTCTGAATTTCAAGTTTCCATGAAATAAGCTTTAGGTTTGTATATGATGGTGTGTTCGAAGTGTTGGGTTTTTGCTGTTGTTTTGTTTTGTTTGGGGAAAGAAAGGTTTGGGGATTTTATATACAACATTCAAAAGATCATAGGGGAGAAACTTGTTTCTTACTGAATTTGTCGTTATGTAACCTATACTTACTTTCCTCCTATTCTTCCCCAAGTTTAGAGTAGGGATGTCTATTGCTGATTTTGTGAGGATATTTTGTTTATCTGTGGTGTCAGGTATGAAAAGAATACATGGACCTTTAATTTGCTAGTCAGCTTTTGTTAGTGTTTGTGTATTTAATGTGTGGCCCAAGACAACTTTTTTTTTTGGCATACAGCAGAGGGAAAGAAAGGTTGGACACCCTTGTTTTAGAGAAAGCTATAAAGTGTAAAAGATTCTTTCCTCCTAAAATTTATATGTTTGAAATTATTTCCTTCAGAATTGTTAATAAAAAGTTATTTGTGTTCAGTATTTCAATAATCGTTTTAGCTTAATCAGATTCAATTTTATATTTTACTAGATTTTCTAAAGCAAAAATTGTGATTGGACGAATTGTTTTCTGCTAATACAGATTGAACATCCCTAATTCAAAAGTCTGAAATCCAGAAACTTTCCAAGCACCAATATGAAGACACAAGTGGAAAATTTTGTACATAGCTACTTAACACAAACTTTGCTGCATGCACAGAATTGTTAAGGATATTGTATGAAATCACCTTCAGACTGTGTGTAAAGTGTATGTAAAGCATAATGAATTTCCTAAGTAGACTTGAGTTATCTCATTATATTTATGCAAATATTATGAAATCCAAAATGTTTCTGGTTCCAGATTATTTCTGAGACAGGATGCTCAACCTGTAAATGTGGCTCAGTCAAATTTGGTAAATTAGCAGTGGTTATTTTACCTTAAGTTATAGTTCTACAGATTATATTTTTTGCCTGTTTTTATAGCTGAAAAATACAAGGACTTAGTACCTGATAATGCAAAAAATGCTGACAGCACAACTAAGAATGCAGAGCCATTGATCAATTTGGATGGTGAGTATATAAACGCATAAAACTGAATTTTGGTTTCTTATTTTACTTCTTAAATGAAGTCAAGTTGACTTGACTTTAGTAAATTATGAAGGCTCCATACAGCAGTTATGTTGATGTTTTTTGTCAGTTAAATGTGCTTTCTCCCTCCCCTTGTGGATCATTATCTGAAGTTAAGATGCTGTTCTTTGATTTGCTCCTCGTACTTTGTGGGTTTGATTTGTATTTAATCCTGGGGGGTCATTTTTTGCCTTCCTGGATGTATAAGATTTTTTTTTGATCCAGTGACACTCTGAGACAGGTGTAACATTTTTCATTATTTTAAGTTATTTCAAATCCCAGGTGTCTTTTAGTAATTCTTTCCCCTTTTAAACCTGAAGCTTCTAATTATCTAGATTGTGATGTGTTAAATATTCTTTCCCTGGCTGATATTTTGGGAGTTATCTTTTGAATGAATGAGCTTCTTGGACACTCCAGAGCTGTTGCTTAGAGAAAAGGTTTTGGGAAAATGTCCGTTTGAAGGTATCCATATTAAAACTGATAATAGCCTTGGGAAGAAATGTTAATTAAAAGTGCTACATAAATGGGCCTTGCAGAGAAATTTACCAGACAAGCCTAATGTGAGTTTAATTAGTCATTTATTGCGTTCTTCAGTTTGGCTTATGAAATACGGATGCTTCTTGACTTATAGGGGAATTATGTCCCAAAGTAAAAAAATCTTAACTCAGAAATGAATTTAGTACTCTGATAAACCCATTTTAAAGTTGAAAAATCCTAAGTGGAGTCCAGATGCTGCTAAGTTTACTATGGGGTTACTTCTCAGTAAACCCGTTGTACAGTTGAGAAGTCCTAAGCTTACCCTTTGTAAGTTGGGGACCATTTGAATGGTAATGGGAAAACCATTTATGTCATCAATTTGCCTAATTGTTGATGCTCTACTCTGCTTTATGTTTTTTTCGCTTGTCAGCAGCATTTTTAAAAATTAAGAAATTTGGCTCTGCGCCTGTGGCTCAAGTGCTAAGGCGCCAGCCACACATATACCTAAGGTGGCAGGTTCGAATCCAGCCTGGGCCCACCAAACTACAATGACGGCTGCAACCAAAAAATAGCCGGGCATTGTAGGGGGGCGCCTGTGGTCCCAGCTACTTGGGAGGCTGAGGCAGGAGACTTGCTTGAGTCCAGGAGTTGGAAATTGCTGTGAGCTGTGATGCCACAGCACTCTACCCAGGGGAACAGCTTGAGGCTCTGTCTCCAAAAAAAAGAAAAAAAAAATTAAAAGATTTGTTGTTACTAGAATAGTTGAAATGTTTTTCTTAAGTTTATGTGTTCACAAACGTGTCTGATTCCGTGTTTGTTGAGCTACAGGGGTTTTTTATTGTTACTCTTTTATAGTAAATAACCCCGACTTCAAAGCTGGTGTGATGGCTCTGGCCAACCTCCTTCAGATTCAGCGCCATGATGACTACCTGGTGATGCTTAAGGTCAGCCTCACATTCTAGATTCTTGACAGAAACCGTAGAGAGAAAAAGTCTGCATTTTCTACATACTATTGGTATTTAAATTGATGGCTGGTGAAAATATATAGTAGAGGAATATGGGGCATAGAGCAGATCTCATGACTTTATCTGTTCTGAATTGTCTAGTAATAACTCATCAGAGAGGTTTACTGTGTGCTCGCCACTGCTAAGTCCTTTGCAAAGATGATCTCATTTGATTCTCCCAATAGTACTAGAGGTAGAGACTAATGTCCTTTTTTAAAAAATACATTTAGGAAGAAACAGAGACTTTAATGTCTGAGATGGCACAAAAGTAATAAAACCAGAATTTTAAGTACTCTGATCCTATGGTCCATTCTTCAAATTCTGTGTAATCATTTCTTTTAAGGATTCGTGGTCATATTCATTACGATAGTAGAAAGTGGCAAATTAGTAGTGGTGGATTTGGTCAAAAATAGACTCCCAGAATCTCTTTGAAAAATAAATGTTTCTATCTTCTGACTCCCTCATCCTAGACAGGCCACTAGGTTCAGACCTCCACTTCAGGGAGCCCAGGAATCTCAAAGAGTCCTCTTTTTTCTGAGAAAAAAATATACTTCAGAAGGTTTATCCCTAGTAAATGTAAAAGAATAGTGAATGAATCAGAGGAGTGGCACTTGTGATCTAGACTAGGAAATTATTTTAAAGATTATTACTGATTTTTACAAGAGATTAAAGAGGTTTCGACCAGACCATGTGCATGTAAAATTACTTTGAACTACTTCATGATAAACTGAATAATTAAATTTTACTCTACCCAGAAGAGATTAAACCAAATTTACCCTACTTTTTAGAATCGTTATATATTAAATGTCAGTTTTAACGAGAGAAAGACTGTCCTATTCTTAAATTATTACAGTTTTCTACACTGAATCTGAATGTTAACTTGGATTTTCTCAGCCTAGATTGGATGGCAAAAGACAAAAAGTTGCTTTTAGTGAAATTTAACTTTTTCAAAGGCTTGGTCTTTACCCAGACAGTGATGTAAATGGTCTTGGAGCGGCTGTACAGTGTCAGGTCAGCTTTAACAGGAGCTTAGTGAGAAGGGAACGGACAGTGCAGAGCATATTGGGGGCACTTTTCTCAGACTTTGAAACCCAATGGGAGAAAGTATAAATCAGCTACAACACAAAGCTTTATAAAATTCTAATCCAAGCTGCATATTTGTCTGCTTTGAGTTATTTTAAGAGGTATTCAAATAATACATAATATGGAAAACATCTTAGTAGGTTTGCCAACTATAAGAATCAGTGTATTAACTGGCCGTCAGACTGTCAGATACATTTGCAGTCACTGTTAAAGGATGTTTTAATGCACTTTTTAAAATACAGCATTTGGTGTTTATTAAAAATAATTTTTTTAAGTTTTCACTTATTTTGGAGTTGGAATTGTCATCTCTGTAATTAAAATTCCTTTTTAAAAATCTTGTTTTTAAATGTGTGTGCACACATGCCTCCATAATGAGAGGCTTTAGTGAGTTATAAAAAACCACCAATAGGGGTGGTGCCTGTGGCTCAGTTGAGTCGGGTGTCAGCCCCATATACTAGAGGTGACGAGTTCAAACCCAGCTCCAGCCAAGAACTGCCAAAAAAAAAAAAAAAAAAGACTCTAAAAAACTACCAACAATGTGTCCTTTGAATGGTCTGAAAACATTTTACTATAGTGAAGTGAAAACAAACAAACAAAAATATTTGTGTGAAAGATTGTATGCATGCATCCATGAACAGAGTAATGTAAGGGAGTTTTTGTAAGGACAGGTAAGAATCTGATAACGCGCCTATAGCTCAACCGGCTAAGGCGCCAACCACGTACACCTAAGGTGGTGGGTTCAAATCCCCAACCCGGACCCGCCAAAACAACAATGATGGCTGCAACCAAAAAATTAGCCGGGCGTTGTGGCGGGCGCCTGTGGTCCCAGCTACTTGGGAGGCGGAGGCAGGAGACTCGCTTGAGCCCAGGAGTTGGAGGTTGCTGTGAGCTGTAATGCCACGGCACTCTACCCAGGGGGACAGCTTGAGGCTCTGTCTCAAAAAAAAAAAGAATCTGATAACGATGACTCTCTTCAGGAGGGACGGCTGGGCTTAGGAGTGAGACATTTTCTACTGTATGTAGTCTTCCATGTTTAAAAAGGGTTTTTTTTTTTTTTTTGCCAAGGGCATGTATTGCTTACTCAAAAAATATTTTAAATTATTACATCATTCCATGTTATTAAATACTAAAAGTATAAAAACTTCAGTTACAATAGCCAGCTTTATTTTTCAATTTTTAATTTATTGGGGAGTTTGTTATTGAACTAGGCGATTCTAACTTCACAGACTGAGCATCTTTATTTTCTTTGATCAGAAAAGAAAGGATGACAATTAAAGAGCCTATAAAAAGTAAAATCAGTATTTTTGGGTTTTTTAGGCAATTCGCATTTTGGTTCAGGAGCGCCTGACACAGGATGCAGTTGCTAAAGCAAATCAAACAAAAGAGGTATGTTTGTATAAGTTCTAAACTCGTTCTTAGCGAAAGTTTCTTTTGGTGTTGCCATTAGTTTAAACTTAGCTTGTATCTGTTTAAGATATTTGTTCTACATTAGAACAGCCCAGATAAAGATAGCTTCCTTCAGTGCCAGCGAGTTTGGTTCTTAGGCAAATTGAATGTATTCATTGGGGGTAGGGGGGGGTGGTATTTTTCAGTGAAAGATGAACTTCATGTTTATTTCACTTCATCCCTCAGAAAAGCTCCCTCATTAGCACATCCACAAACCACTGCAGTTAATTGAAAAGGGTTTACCCCTATGAAATTTACTGGATTATTGATCTAAATCCTATCTTCCTATTTCTTCAGAATAAATTTTCATTTCATTCAATTTCCTGGCATAAAGCAGTATGAGAAAGTAATTTGGTTAAGGTCCCTTGGTTGGTAAATGCTGGAGTGCTGGCAGTCAGTCTGACTCGGGGCCCGTGCTGTGCTGGGTGCACCGAGGTTCCCTGGGTGGATGTCCACCAGGTGAAGGGATAGAGGGCTGGATTGAAGTATAAGGTTCCCTGGACAGGTGACAAACAGTAGGCTAAGAAAGCTGGGTACTATGACTGTCTTCCTCTTATCGATAATATACTTTGGGGATTTTTTTTTTATATCAGAAATCTAAATATCCCTAACGTTTGATAGACTATGAGACAGTGCAGAGGTGTCTTACGGGGTCTCCAGCACATCATCATTCTGGACTTGGGTCCCCCACCCCCATCTTTCAATGTCTTTTGTCCTCTTAAGGCCTTTAGGCAGGCCCAGCAGTGTTAAAAGGTTACTAATTTCAGGGCAATGTCTCTGAAAGACACTCAGTTTTCTTCTGAAGGTTCTTATTGGCTTATTAATTATGTATGAATCAGACCACTGGAAGTTGGATTAAAGATCAGCTTATTTCACCCACACTATAGAACAGACAGTAAATTGTCCTGGCATAATAAAATCATTCATTCATTTAGCAAAACTATGTCTTTGGTTTGGAAGGCAGTGTTAATGAGGGCATAGCCAAATCTCTTTGCTGTTCTTTGCAAAGTAACATATGGTTTTATTTTCAATGCTCCCAAATCTTAATTTTAGTGTCATCTCAAAAAAACACCAGCCTATAATAATTTAGTGGAGAATTTCTTACAGTTTGATGTACTTGTCTGTAACTATTCATAACTAGTATTTGAGGCATGTGATAATTCTCAGGGGAAGCTGCTAGTCCCTTGGTGGTCTTTTGGCAGGGGATAATGGAGTGTCTGGTACCAGACTACCATATAAAGCCACTCAGTACAATTCTACTCCTTAATTTTGCTTACTGTACTTTCATACATGCAACTTTTTATTTTTATCTGTTCCAGAACAGTTGGAGCCTAGGTGTGTTTGCATTAATAGACAGGCAAGTCTTGAGCAGTGACTAAAGCATTTGAATAGTGACAGCTTGTAACATTGAAAGTATAGGCAGTTTTTTATTGGTGGTAATTTTATGCAGTGTAATCAGTGGCAAGCCCAGACTGCCTTATTTTTCTTTGCTAATATTGTGAAGTCTGTACAGTTTGGCATAACGAAAGTTACCATCTTTGGTTCGTTAAATCATTTAGTTTTTCAAAGTAACTTCCAAATGAACTATTGAAAGTTAAATTATGTATAGATAATCTATCATGCAGGTCAAAAAAATAGTTGTGTACATTTTAGATATGTTTGTGCAGTTCGTAAAGTAATGTGCTCAGAAATAAACTTTGAGGAAGGTAATATAAAAGTAGTCCTGTGTTTCTCGTGTGCTGCTTACTGTAGCTAAACTGGAACAGTAAAGCCCAGCCCAGCCTCCTTCCATGGCAGCAGTGACAGAGCCCTGTTACGGAGGATGTAGTGTTTCATTTGCTCTAAAGGGTTGATAGGCCGCCCAGCTTCCCAGGGCATTTAAAGGCCCTCCTTTACTAATGGGTTATTATATGGAAGAACTTGCTCCACCCCAAGGCAACTGTGAACAGAAAGTTCTTTGTTCCCTCGCCATTGCAGCTGAAAGAATAAAAGTAGCAGAATAGCTCACTGCTATTCACAGTTTTAGATGAGAATGTTTCTCTTAAGTACAGTCATTTTGTCTTTTTTTTTTTTTTAAAGGGCTTGCCTGTTGCTTTAGACAAACATATTCTTGGTTTTGACACAGGAGGTAAGTGATTTTGTTCACTTGGAAAATGTGTAAGTGGTCTTGCCAGCAAAGATTATGTATTGATACAGTGCTCTTTCCTTGCAAACAGATGCAGTTCTTAATGAAGCTGCTCAGATCCTACGACTGCTGCATATAGAAGAGCTCAGAGAGCTACAGACAAAAATCAATGAAGCCATAGTAGCTGTTCAGGCGATTATTGCTGACCCAAAGACAGACCACAGACTGGGGAAGGTCGGAAGATGAACACTAAGACTTCAGCTCCTCACCTGCTTGGTGCAGTTGGGATCCACGTACACTTCTGGCATGTGTTTGGAAATCAAATATCACATTTTTCAAGGGAGGAATCCCAGAAAATTGACGATGTTTTAGAGATTTACCACCACTGCTTTTTTCTTTAATAAAGTTTGGGAAAGTGGAATTTTTTTTTTTTTTAGTATGTATACTCTGTTTCCTCTCTTGTGGTTGAGGTACATGCCAATCCCCACTTGTGTCAGAGACAATGTAGATCCTGAAGTTAGGAAAACTTAAAATTTTTATTGGAATAATCTAGAAAATTTGAGAACTGTTACACCTTTGGTATTTATTAATGTAGTACTTTCTGGGAGTACTTCTGTAAAGGCATTTACAGGATCAGAAAATACAAACTGAATCATTTTAGCACCTTTGATATAAATAGAAATGCACTGATGCAGAGGTAAAAAAAATAGTGTGAGCACTTCTGTTGGGAAACCACAAATAACTGGTCATGTCCCATCAGTTCTGCATTGCCCTCGCTCACTGTGTCGAAGTTTATGATCCTTAGGACTGTGTACTTTATACTGAGCACATGTTTTAGTTTCTTGGCCAGAAAGAATCCATAGCAAAAATCAGATTTAGAGTCTGAGACTCTAATTCCTTCTTAGTTGAATCTGATCTTTTAAATATGATAAATGTTTATAAGAAGTTGCTGTAATAAGCAACAATTAAAATTCTATTACTTTTTTAAACTTGCAATAACAACCTTTGTTTTTAAAGATACAGTAGTAAAGATTGAGGTATAAACTTCACAAAATGTAGTTTTTTTGCACTAAAAATGTTCATCTGATGTATACAGGAACTTCTCGTGGCCAGTGCCTTTTTCACTTTCTTCACCTTTGCAGTAAATGTTCTTTAGGGTCCAGGTTCTGATTGTAAACTCCAAGTCCACCTTGACATTCCTATTTACTTCCTCCCTGTGAGGATAGAGTGAGGGGTGGGAGGTGAATATTCTGTAATCAAGTGACAACAGCAAGTGTCTTTCATTTTGTGCATAGATAAAGGCAGTTGAGAGGCAGCGGGGGTAAACTGGCCATGAATAATCGATTTCTATTTCCCTGCTACTCCAGGAAGCATCCAGCAGTGTGTCCACTTCCTTACCTGCTGGGCAGTAGGGATAGACCGCAGTTATCCCGTAGAGGTGAGATCGCTGCTCTGGGAGATACTCATCAGTAAACTGACCACTGTCTTTATTTACTGATATAACGCCGTCCCTGGGAACAGAAAGGGTGAATTCATGGAGAGTCAGTCACTAAGTGAAAAAAAGGCGAGGTTAGAAACGGTCAATTTCAGTAGCGAGCGATCTCCCAGCCTTTCTGCCGGAGGGGTGATGCTGATGCCACGCTGAAGTTGGAGAGCCACTGTTGTAACTGCTCTCAGCCCTGGCTGCACTTAGAATCACGTGGGGATCTATTAAAAATTGCCTGGGCCTCATGCCAGACCAATTAAATCAAAATGGTGGGAGGTGGGGTAGAGAGCATAGACTTTTTCCCCATTTCTTCACTTGAGAACTGAGTAGTAGTTTTAGTTTTCCTGTGCACAGTGTGTTCACATTTAAAAATCCATTTAAACCCTGTATCTAGTAATCTACCTCCTGGTGCCACATAGGGGCAGGCTTTTATTCTCTGAACAGGTTCAGAGTAATGTACTTCATTTTTAGCTCACGTGTTAACAAATAGCCCTCCACTTTTAAGCTGCTGGTGAGCAATACCATTAACTTCTGGGTGAAGTACAAGCATAATTTCAAAAGTGGTAACACTTGAAGGTTGTTACCTGTTAATGAGATAATGAAACAAAAGCCCCAGCAGAGGACTTACTACTAAAGTCAAGTTTTGGTAAAACAAGCAGTATATCCTCCAGAACGGTTTGCCTTCCAGGAGTGC